CCCCAAAACCCCAAAACCCCAAAACCCCAAAACCCCTAGCGATATTTGAATGAAACATTATTTTAAATAGAACATAAAATTAAACAACAACTATTAATTTAAAAATATAATGTCTGATATAGAGAGTTTTAACAATAACTATTCAAGTTTTTCATAGAAAGGCAAGAATCCAGTGGATATCTCTCATAATTTCAGAGGTAGTGACCCCACAGAAAAGTACATTTCAAACGATTAGAGATACCCCTTAAATTCAGATACTAAGAGTGGAAGTAACATGGATTATGAACAAAGTCATGGTAAGCAAAGACCATATGGATATTAAGCTCAATTAAATGAAAGTCAGTTACCCTCTAGTAAATACGATGATTCTAACAGAAATAAGTATAAGAACCAATCTTACATAAGCTCATCAAATACTAAGAATTCTTAATTAATAAATTAATCTGACACTTTATCTCCTCCAAGATTTTAAACTAAGCATTTCAATGATCTTAATTAAATTGGGCAGGAGGTCCCAATATAAAAAGTAGAATCAGCAAAGAGAGGGGATTCCCCTGACTTTAGATTCTCTGATTAGGATTAGCACCTACAAGCAAATCACTCAAAGAGAACTTCAAATGTGCTATCTAGTTTTCTAGGGTCAGGATCATTGGACTATTCAAATATTTAGATATAAAATCCAATGAACGCCAATAAACAATTTAAAGCGAATGAGTATAATAGACCTTAGATCAATAACTACAGTGAAGTCTAGCAAACTCATAATAATAACTTTAATGGTGCAAAAATAATAAAGCCCTACGTATAAGAGAGTGTTTCACTAGAGCCGACACCTAACATAAGTCAATATAACAACTATAGAATGGAGTAATTAGATTCTTAAACTGCTACAGGGGAAAACGATTATCAAATCGGGAATCGACTCTTAAAAGATTAATATCAAAAGTCTTAAAATTTTATTGGATCTAATCGAATAAACGTTGAAGATTTCAGTAATAATCCTTCATAAAATTAAACAATGAGATCGAGCTAATACGTAGAGGATAGAATTTAGAAGCCTTAGCAATTTACATTAGCAAGTATAGAAGGCAGTTCCTAAGATTTTTAAGTTAAGAGTAGATTAATGGAAAATGAACTTACTGACTTAAGATATAAAATTAACTAGCTAGAATCAAAACTGAATAATCATAGTTTGTAAAGTCAAAGCTAAATATCATCAAATAGAGACTTTAATAATGCAGTCGACATCTACGCTGAAAAGAATAGAGATAGTTCTCTAAAATAGCATCCAGATTCTTTATAAAATTCTGTTAAAAGAAACCTGAATCAGGACTACATCTAGAGTTCTAGTCTTAGAAATATGCTTTAGTAGCAAGATACTGCTTAACCAAAGAAATAAAATCAGAGTAAGATAACAGAATAATAAAATGAGAGTGAGAGTGATACAGATCTTATTGAAAAACCCCTTAAGATTGAAGAGATGTATGAAAAGCCAAAGTATCAATAGAAGTAAAACAAAGTTTAGAAACAAAAAATAAAGCCGATTCTAAGAAATAAAACTAGCTCCTTGAGAAGAAGGGACTCTCCACATATTGCTAATGAATCTTAAAGATAAGGATCAGCATATAGCACCGATAGAAATGGGATGAATTCGACATCAAGAGAAAATAGAATCAAACCTGCTAAGCCTTAACATACTAAGTCAAGAGATATTGATAGATAAGGAGGTGGAAGTATATAAAACAATAATAAATTGACTAACACCATTCAGAGTGTCCATTATGATGATTAGGATATTGACTAGTAAAGTGAAGGAAGAAGCAGACCACTTAGATAAATTAGGCAAAAGTCTCTATCTCAGAAATAAATAAGAAGCAAATCCAAAACAAAGCTGTAAGAATCTAAATTAAACAGATCTCTTAAAAGATCCAAAACTCCAAAAAACAGAAACTCAAGAAATACTGGTTAGAATAGAGTTTAGAGCTTTGCTTCAAAGTAATCAAAGTTATAATAATCAAATATCAATGATAAGGGTGTACTGAACAAAGAAAAGAAGCCAGCAATAAAGACAAAAAAGATAGACCACAAAGAATCTAAACATAGCTAAAGTAACTAATTACCCAATGAGTTGGCTGACTCCTAATCATAAGAATAAATTAAAAAGCTTTAAGCGAAACTGCAAAAGATGAAAAAAAAGCTTTAGGAGAAGGATGAATATATAGATGAGATACTAAAGGAAAATGATGAACTGTAGGAGTTACTAGAAGAAAAAGAGAAAGTTATTAAGAAACAAAAGAAATTACTTAAAAAGGCAGAAAAATAAAATGGTAAACACAGAACTAACTCTATTAGTGAACGAGATTTAGAGGAGGATAGATATTACAAGAAGAGATATGATTGACTTTGATGAAAAGAATAGTCAATATAATGCTCTTTTAGAAGGCAAATTTATATATAATGAATCATTTAGCAGCAATCAAACAATTTTAGATTAATGTGGCATAGTATGAGATTTTTAATTTTTCCAATTATTTACTTGATGTATTTATTGTTCGATAAAAAGTGTAATGGGGTTTTGGGGTTTTGGGGTTTTGGGG